AATTTAAGTAAATCAAAGATTCAACTACTTCCATTATTAATTTACCTCACTCGTGTAGATTTAAAAACCAAGAAAGTAAGATAAAAGCGGGTAGATGTAATAATGAGCTGTATAAATAACCTAAAACAAAATGGGGGTGTGTGAATATATAAAAATAAAATTTAAAAATATAAAAAAATAAAAAAAAATAAAAAAAAAAAAGGGAGCAAAAGGTGTAAAATGTAAGGGAAAAAGGAACAGAAGATGGATAAACTGTTGGGTAAGATGGTAAATATGTTTACCAAACATTTAAATGAGCATAAAAATTGTACAAGTGAATAGAAGAAAAAAAAAATACGCTAAAACAAAAAGGTGGGAAGAATAAAAAAGAAATGAAGGGGTAAGAAGGATAATGTGCAAACAAAAGTGGAATGGAACTAGCATTGAATAAATATGGGCCAAAAATACTTAAAGACTAACTTGTAAAAAAAAAAAAAAGGTAGAAAGTGGATATTACTTTATCATGTGTCTTGTTTATAAATTATTTCTTTTTAAAGTTTAACCTCATACCTGTATCTAATCTAATATTTAAAAAAAAATCCTAAAAGATGATAGGTGTCCCTCAAACCTTTTATATTTCCATATTTTATTTTTAAAAAACAACTAGTATTTAACTCGTGCGATGCACTGTTAAACTTGTTGGTAAAATATGTTTTTCATATTTTGATTAAAGAATTTTTATTGTATATTTGGATTGCTTTATGTTTAATTTGAATCAAATTATATGTAAAAATAAATTGCATTGTAGAAATACGGCTTATAATTTAGTGCATTATTCTTAAACACACACAAAATATACAATTAATAAATAAAGAAATCAACAATACTTAGAAGAAAGACAAAAACGAAAAAATAGAAATTGAAAAATAATTTAAATTGGTTATATCAAAGACAAATAGTATCTTGTAGAGTACAATACAATATCTTGTAGAGTAGAATGTAAAATTTAGAAATAGATAAAAAAAAAAAAAAAAAAAAATCAAACCAATGAATTCAAAACGGAAAAGATAATACAAAATCGAAAAATAATGAAAAGCGAAATACAAATTTTATCAACTCATAAACAAACGTTAGGATAAGATCTAATTTTTTTTGAAAAAATCAAATTAACATTAAAAATAACTACAAACAAAAACCAAAGTCAAATTTAAAACGTAAATCGAAAATTTATCCAAATAAAAAAAAATACTTTAGTGGATCTAATTCAAAATTTAACAAAAATAATATTAAAAAAATCCTAAATGAAAACCACAAGCAAAGTCGAAATAAAAATAAATAAATAAATAAAAAAAAAAAAAAAAAAAAAAAACCTTATAAAAATTAAAATAATATCCTAGTTTTTTGTAGGATGAAACAAAATTATAAATAAATTTTAAAACAAAATAAAAAATAAAAAAATAAAAAAGCAAATTTGTAACCAATAAAAATTAAAAAATTTTGAATATCTTTGAAAAACGGTAGATGAATTCTTCAGCACGTTTCATTTAAAAATAAATAAAAACAATTTCACAAAAAAAGAAAAGAGTCAAAAACGAATTTTCACAAATAAATTTGGGAAAAAAAATATACCGTAAAAAAAAAAACCAGATCAAATTTAAAATAGAAAAGAATTGTTTAAAAATGATAATGAAAAATAAAACGAAACACTAAAGTAAAAAAATTAATATATAAAACTGACTTTAAACATTGAAAAAGAAAATAAATGAAACTCCAAAAAACAATTTGCTTTATAAGAGATTAAATTCAAAATCATAAAAAAAAAAAAAAAAAAAACGAATTTTTAAAAAACAATGTAAAAATATGAGAATTTGAGGGAAAGAGGAATTACAACTAACCTTCAAAATCAGAGAGATTGTTTGGGGGAGAGAGAAAAAGGGTTGATTAGATACCAGTGAAGAATTGGGAATCAGATTATTTATAAATATTGAATGGAGAAACTGAAAAGGGAATAGCGTCGTTTGGGAATTCTTGAACAAAGAAACAAAAGGGGATAAATTGAAACAAAGAAGTGTTGTTGGAAAAAATTTAAAATAAACCCAAAAAAAAATATATATATATATATAAGAAAATCAGGAAAAACAAGAAGTGGACACGTGTCCTTTCAACTTCCGGCTTTAAAATATTAGTATAGATTTAAATAACTAACAAACATTTTTCCACTCTTGATTTATTTTTAAACCATTGTGTCTTTCCATTATTTCAATTTTAACAAATTCATATACATTTCTTTCATTAAAATGTACTAATCCATTTTTTGTACTATTCCTTTAACCCTTCAAATTAATATCTGTCGGATTTGCATCATATACGTTTTTAAAATATTTTTCAAATTAATTGAAAAATATAAAAAAAAAATAGTAATAAATTAAGAAAAAAAAATAAATAAATAAAAAAAACCTAGTGATTTACTTAAAAAATATTGTCATAAAGCTTAATAATCATTTTAGATATAGAGATTTAAAGAAAATCAAAGTGTATACTTCTATATTTTTACAAAAATTAAATACTACCACCTTCGTTTTGCTGAGTCTGCTACGTAAATCAAGGAAAAGTAAAAATGGGGACCATATATATGGAGACCATATAAGTGGGTACTTTTGTATTAAAGAGGAGAGAGGGAGTAAGAGGTTTATTAAATAAAATTGGTCCCCCCAGAGTGGGGTTGTAGATGATTAAAAATGAATAAAAATTATCATAAAAGGAATAAAGTAAAAGTGAGTAGAACTTAGAAAAATGGATGAAAACGGAAAGTGAGTAAGACTTAGAAAAACAGAGGTAGTAGTTGATTGTAATAACTCAAACTTATATTCCAAGAGGTATTAACATCTAGCATTAACACACTTCACCCTATTTTCTAAGTTATAAGAAAAATGTATCACATAACGTATTCATCAGAAGTAAAGAGGTGTCAAAAAGAGGTGGGGTGCCATGTAGCAAATGAGTCACTTAATCTATTGTCACAAGTTCACAATGCCTCTTAACACCATCTGCCTAAACTTTAAAAACCCCATTTATGACACTCTTTATAACACTAGGCATTCAAAAGAGGAAGACTAACTAGAATGAATTAAATACAGCCTTAGTTAAGGTTATCATAATAACACTATCCTCTTTCACAACTTCCACAGGTTATTTTAGCAATTTTAAGGTCATGCTCTCTAGGTTCTTTAGGGCATTATAGTTCAACTACACATAACTTCAAAACTTCACACATTCTTATTTAGGAAAAAACACAAAGGCTCATCACTTCACCAAGTCTCCCAATGCCTAGTTTCCACGGAATATCATAGGAATCTACAAATCTATCACTCATAGAGGTGTCTAGGATTTTTTAAGGGCTTATGAGTACAATAATTGGATAACCTTTGGGACAACATTAGGCATCCCCATTTTAACATTTATCTAAATAAACTAGTTTCTAGAAGATTGAAATGATAATAAAATATGTAGGGTATTTTTAAGCCAATTAAAGCACAAAGTTTTATCCTTCAAGTTAAATTCATAGCCTATTATTACTCAATCTGTATCTAAAAACTAATCTTGTTTATTTATTTGCACAGTTTTGTGAAATATTTAAGCATAATTATCTTCAAACGTGTATTATAATTATAAAAAGATATATATATCATAGAAATACACGCAAGACAACGCAGATAAGATCACACATGATTATGTTTCTTCTTACAAATTTCTGTTAGTATTAGATTATATTTCACAAGAATCAAAAATGATTCTACATAGGACTATAAGTTGGAAACGGGGGAGTCATATACTCATATAAAAAGAAAGGCTGCTACTTATGTTACACACCCATGGTGTTATAGGTGAAGAGAAAGTTATCTAAAGATGGTATGAATAACAGGATTGACAGTGACCAAAACCTAGCTAGACAAGTAATACTTAGAACAGTAAAAAAATAATTCATAGAAAGGCCTCTTAAACTAAAGGAAACTGGTAAACATGTATCACTGATTGTAGTAACACTTGTGTGCCTAAATGTGGATGCTCAAATCCCTATTTTGAGATAAAGTTCAACTGATAATGCAAACATAATATCAAATTCATTCTATATAAATACTTAAATAGAATTATCTATGAAGTACTCCCTCCATTTCACCGTGATAAAAACCTAAGGAGGGTTTAAGTGACTAATTTAGCATAAGAAATTTGAAAATTATAAAAATATAGGACAATTAATGTAAAGCATCCTATGATGAAAAGTAAGACAATCCAATATAGACAGAGAAAGAAGCATTATTTTGAGCTCCATCCCTTTGAACTCATTGTCACATTGCTATATAAAAAACCAAGAAATCCCAACTCTCTTAGTCAATGATAAACATCGTCCTCTTAGTAACAAAGGCTCCTTTACTTTTTCCGTTCTTCTCCATATCTCACCACATGCTCTCAACCAAAACGGAGAAGTAACTCGTTAAAAAACCATATGATAAATTTATTCAATCCAGTATAACACTTATCACAAACAAGCTCTAATGTTCTGTATGCTAAGCATCGCAGGGATCTTTAGAGACGGAACCAGAAAATTAGGAAGCATAGACATAAAAATCTTTGGTCTGGACTTTGGAGGAGAATAAAAGTGTAATTGATCAAATTTTCAATAAACACAGTTAAGGCAGTAAAACAACAAGGCTAAAACCATACCACATCTACACCCAGTGAATAGCGTCGATACTAAAATCTAAAAAGTAATTTGTTATAATCAATAATTTATGTAGTTTTCATCAAATTCCTAACTAGGTAGCCACCGGAAACATACAATTAGCAATTTCAACTTCTGCACATAGTACATGGAATCTAAACCATTAAAGATATTAATAGAGTTTAATATGCCAATACTTTCATTTTACGATAAAGCTATATACAAGTTGAACTACAGTAATTCATATTATATACGTACTGAACAAAAAGCGAAGGACAGTTTAGCAATAAATAATACTTACTTGTAGCCATCAAATAAACAGCAACGTGTGTTTCAAATTGCATTCCTCGTAATTCTTCTCATTCACCTTCAATCACAAATTTCACAAAATAGAATCAACAATGACAAGAAATAATTAAAATCATAAACATAAAAGACAAACAAAATCTCAATGTGCTGCATTACTTACAATTAAGAATTCGATTGTTCAAGCTCGGAGACAAATTAAAATGATAGAATCCATCTGCATAAATCCTGTTTTCACAACAATACATCCATAATTCATTATTCTCGCACATTCAACTCTTGTTACTTAAATTATGAGGTAAAATAACACCCAAATGCAAAATCTAGCACAATTTGCTGAAAAATTTGTGAAAAAAAGCGATTAAAAAAGCTAAAAATAGCTTAACAGAAGAAGTACTCCGTAACATCTAGAATCAAATCCAAAAGAGCGCATGCAAATTGCAATAAACGAAAAGAGTATGAACAATGCAAAATCTCGGCAACGATAAAACAGCGATTGAAGAAATTACAAAAATTAGGTTAACATCTCACCATAAAACTTTGATCATCGAAATCGTTGCCCTAATTTGACGATTAAATCGCGAGTAAAATTGAAACAATAAGAATTATAAAAATTCTTTGAGAATGAATCGAATTTTGAGTGAAATTCAAGCAATGTTTGATCAAATGCATAGTAGATTACAGCTATGAAATGCGATCATGGAACTGAAATTGCAGGAATCAAAATTGAAACGAGGAGAGAGAAAGAACAATGTGTCTCCTTGAGTGAGGCATAGTCTGCATAGAGAGAGAAACGTACCTTGGGTTCGAGAAAGCGAAAGAAGGAGCGAGAAAAAATATCTGGCATAGTGTGACTAACTTTTTATATGGGGAGTAGGGGACCCGTTTATACTTCAATTGCTTACGTAGAGTGGCGATTTGATTATCGCTTAATTACGTGATTTGGTACTCCGTCTATGATTACCGACTAGCGACTACCACATTTCGTACTCCGTTCGTCCTTTAATGTTAGTTATGAAGTCCACTTTATTAGCTATGTCTATGGAGCTCTTTCGATATTAGTTGTTGGTATCATGAAAAATATGTAAACAAATATTTTTAAGTTATAAATGTCTACACCCTATTCTTAATTTCATATAAGAGTTCAAAAAAGAGCAATAAATATTAATAAGGTTTGTCAAATAAAAAATAGCAGGTCTAGAGTGTGGCTAGCCACACCATGTAGCCGGTTGTAAAAAAAAAAAAACAAAGTAACCTCTAAAACACTGACTGTGTAATCCCTGTAACGTTGACCGTGTAACCCCTATAACATTGACCGAGTAATCCCTGTAACATTTACTGAGTAACCCTTATACCACCGACGAAGTAACCCCTATAACACTAACCGAGTAACCCTCATAACACTAACGAAGTAACTCCATTATGGTTGGCTACACGATGTGGTCAGCCATATATAAGAATTTTTGAATAAAAAAACAATAATGAGGAAAATAAGTTAAAAACATTTTAAATGGTATAATTGTTTAAATATTATTTTGATACTCTTCCTCCAAACTTTATTGCAGCACATTTTGTATGTGGGTGGCACATGTGGTCGCTTATAAAATATAAAGTAACTCATATTACATTTAACCGAGTAACTCCTATAACACTGACGAAATAATTCCTATAACATTAACCTAGTAACCCCTATAACATTAACAATAACCCCTTATAATAGTTGGCCACACGGTATAACTTGCCATATATAAACTTACGATAATCTTTAATTTATATCAAAAATATTTTGACTTATTTGATTATTTGGATCTGAAATATCTCCATCTCGATCCGATCCAATCCGATGTATTGGTAATATTCATGAGTATAATGCAAAGATTTAAACTGGTACTCGGTATTCCATACTCGTAGTTATACTTCTATGCTCTTTTGGGACTCAAAAATTTATGAGTGTTAAAAAACTGCATGATCCACTTTGATAAGCAAACAATGATGAATATAGCTGGTTACAAGTGGCAGCTCTAAAATAAATCATATGTCAAGCAAACCAAACACCTTCTTGAACCGTACAGCCAGATCAGCTAGCCAACGTTAATGATTTCCCCTCTAAGGCTCTAACTATGATTTAATTTGGCCATTTGCTTTTTGACTTAATAAACCATATTAAAAATCCAAAGCAAATTAACTAACCAGGATTGAACACGTAATTAGATCTATCACCCTATGATTAATACCTAATCACTACTTAAAGTATATAAACTTTATTATTCCCTCCGTCTCATAAAGATTATTTGTCTTCGATTTCCGCTTTAATAAGTATAGCACGAAATAGATAAAGTGGAGATAAATTATAGGATCATGCTAATTAAAATGGAAATGGGACAAATCAATTATAACGATCTAAGAATAATAAGACGAGTTTTAAGAAACGGAGAAAACTTTATTAAAAACCATTCTTAATACTCCGTACTAAGTTCTTTATTTTAATAATAGCATACATTGCAATTTGTACACTTGCCGACGTCTAAAGCGGCACGTGTTCTCGTTTAGTGAATTAAGTACGACGACTATACAAATATAATCTCTAATCTATAGTAGTAGATATTTATAAGAGTCCTTGCGAAGATATTTTTGGTTCAATATAGATTTTTATAATAGGGTAATCAAGATGCTTCTTTTTGGGAGGTCGTTTGTCAAGTGTGTGACACTAATAATTATGGAATGGAGCAGAAGAAAAAAGTGGGGGAAGAAACCTATGATTGACTAATTAGATATTGGTTAACCCAAGATTCAACAATTAGTTTAGCCAATTAACTCTACTGCCGACGTGTGGTGGAATATTTAAGCTTGTCAAGTGGATTGCTAATCTTTTTATTCTCTTTTTCATTGAGAATCGTTTTCCAGGTAGACAGGTAGTGTTCTACATTTTTTTTTGAAAAAGTGTTCTACGAGTACACTGTTTCTGCTTCCGCGTATGGTATTTCAAGTAGTCGTGTTAGAATTGTTTTCCCTATAAAAAAAAAAAAAAAAAAGAAATTTTAAAATTTTAAAAAATTCCATGACCGTAAAATTTTCAAAACAAAAAATAGAGTGTACTTTATTTGTCTCTAAAAACATATTCGAATGGTAATTAACTAATTATCTCATAAAAAGATGACTCAAAAAGATTAAACTACATACGAAGTAATATAGATGAAGGGAATAGTTGTATTCTTGTAATAACTAAATTGTGTTATGTACCTGAGTGTACCGTACACCCAGGGTTATTATAAATGAGCAATAATTATTTGCTCATTTATTGATTAAATGAACAAAACATTATTTGAATCGTCGTCGTCATTATCAATAGTATTGCGAATAGCTCTACGAAACTTGAAAAACCCATCATTGTCTTCCTTTTCTTTGTAATTTGATTCAACATCATTATCATCAAATTTACTTCTCTCCCCTAAAACTTCTCCCTTACCTTCCTCTCTATCTCCTCAGCTTCGACAATGTCTAACTCAAGCCACTCAACTTAGTCAACTTAGTCCTTCTTCCTTCTCCAAATTGGTCAAGCTTCAGCTATGGAAGCTCAACTGCCGTCTCTGGAACTGGCCGACATAAAAGGACACGTGGAGCTCTGGCAAGCCCCCGCCGACATTCTCGCAATCATCGGTGATGTTGCAGGAGTTCCATCACTAATCGGAAAATTGATTTGGTATGAGATCAGGAATAATTTGATTTGGTTTGATTCTCGCAAAGACTGGTTTGATTTGGCATGAGATGAGGAAGTTTGATTTGGCGAGTGAGTGTTATGAGGAAGTTTGATTGGAACGAGGACAAAAAAGGAAGAAAGTTCAGTCAGGCAAACTAATTGGAAAATTTCGAATATGCCCTTGGGTGTACCTAGAGGAAGGTACATCCGGGTGTACAAAACAGGCTCCCCTTGTAATGATATCTCATTTTTAAAATCCGTACATTTGTTTTTTAAGTGACTTATTTCCTCTCTTACCCATTTTATTTTGTTAATACTAATGTTAAAATATTTGCTAATTCATAATCAGATATATATCAATATTTAAAATTGTGCACAACAAACGTAAAATTAAGGTCAAAAATGGTATAATTATTTTAAAAATAGAGGTAGCATATTTGTTGAAATTATATTAAAATGTTGTTAAATAGGCATAAGACAGACCCATGAGTTATATGGGTATAAGCACGAGCTTTCACGATTATAGATGAACTTGAAATTCGGACCAAAAAAAGGAAAAATATATATATACATATATATATATAGGGAGTGGATCATGTGAAAACAAGTCTAAGGCTGAAAACTAAAAACAAGTAATCTAGACCTAATCTGACAGAGGAGATTATATCCGTGTGATAGTTATTCTTGACCGTGGGATTTGTTCCTTGATTTCTGAAAATCCATCCACTCCTCTACTTTTTACTCTATTTTTCTTTCTCTTCCATCTTACGTTCACCATCTTCTTCATTCTCTCTGCTTCCCAATTCAATATCAATGTTAAACATCATCAAATTATAGAGGAATTTGGTTCAATCTTCGTCAATAGCTTCAAAAAAGTGAGTTTTCGTTTATGATATTTGTTTAATTTGGTATTATATACGTGTTTTTGGAAATACCAAATTGATTTTTCGATTTGATTTTTTTGGGATTTAGTAATTCGTGTATTAGACATACACTCCCTCACTTCTTTCTCCTTCACGCAACTTCTCTCTCTAAAATTGTTCATCAATTTTGTGCGATTTTGCGTGTTTTGTTCATCAATTTTGTTCGATTTCCAGTGCGATTTTGCGACTTTTGCTCATCAATTTTTTCGACTTTTTTTCATCAATTTTGTTCGATTTTGTTTGATTTTGCGATTTTCTGTTCCATTTTGTTCGATTTTGTTCAATTTTGTTCGATTTCCCGTTCAATTTAGGGTTTTTGCTTTTTTTTGTTTGATTAATTTGCGATTTTGCTAATTTTTTTATTTAGGATGGTGGGGGTTACAATCGGTGTTTGTGAGGGTGGGTTTATCACCGAAGTTTGGTTCGGGGGTAGGGGTGAACGAAGAAGATGAGATCGGTGAAGAGCTGTGATTGACTTCCGTAATTGGTCGTCGGAGAGTGGGATTGGGTTGAATCGCCTTCACCGATTGAGCGAGATTTCCAACACCAGGTTTGGTTGCACCCATTGGAGGTACTGCCCCACCTCCAAAAACAAAGGTGTGGGATCAATGGAAGATCGTGGGTAGCCGCAAAGCCAGGAAAAATCTTCCATCTGAGCTCAAGATGTCACGGAATGGTTATGCTGGAAGCCAAAGCGATGAGGACAAGGGTACTGAGCAAGATAAGGAAACGCCAACTTCAGTTTAGGGGTCACAACCCATATTTGTCCAGTATTGGTGTACACTATATCCAAATTGTATTACAGTAGTACTGATTTGAGATATATGATGAAACTTTGCAATTTTGGAAGGAAATTGATCTTATTTTGTTGTAGTGTAGCTGTTCCATTGCTATAAGTCCACTGCTATTAGCAAAAATATGTTAGTGTAAGTTCTTTTTAGATTTTAATATGGAGGATTTGGCAAGATAGAAATGTGAAAATTTCTAGGAGAAAGAAACTCCAGTTGTTGTCTTAAAGGCTCGAGTGCTACGGTGGACAGAGGAGTGAGAAAAAATGAAGAACCCTCCCCAACATATAGGTACTGCCCCCGTACCAGGCCAAGGCGTTGGATTCCTCCTCCAAATGGGGTTATCAAAATTGATATAGTTACCTTATTTTTGTATATAGTAACATTTATGTAAATGTGGTCGAAATTGATATAGTTACCTTATTTTGTATATAGTGACCTTTATGTAAATGTGGTCAAAATTGATATAATTACCCTATTTTTGTATATAGTTACCTCTAAGTAAATATTGTAAAAATTGATATAGTGACCTCGGTGTAAATGTCATTAAAATTAATATAACTTGATATAATTACCTTATTTTTGTATATAGTGACCTCTGGGTTGTTTCAGAGCATCAGATTCCAGAGAACATTCAATGGCTAAGATTACTTGTTTTTAGTTTTCACCATAAACTCTGTTTTCAGCGGAACATCCCCGTATATATATATAAAATAACATGACTGCGAACTTGATTAGATTGAAGTAAATAATTTTAATTAATTCCAATTTTAAGAGTGATTACCATATTTTTAAAAAATCACCTTAAAGTCTTCACATCTCACCTCTCACTTACTTCGATGTTTATCTTCTCCCTTAGTCGCAGCCCTTTGATATGATACCAATCACCTCCCTATTGGAGAAAGTTGTGAGCTTGTGACCATTTCAGACCAAACCTGATTCGATCCATCATCCGTTCCATCTGTCATTCGCTTCTCATCCATTTATTTCGGATTTTTGTCCATT